TAATAAGGTTTTAATATAATTTAACCAAGTTTTACTTTTACCATTTAGACGTTTGTCTAAACTCTTGATTTCGTCTAGCAACCTTAGATGAACCTAATAAAAAAATCGACGAAAATACATGGCATTCTGTAAACAGCGTCTGTATATTGAAGTGACTAATTCTAAAATTTAAGTTCACTTTGAGAGTCATACATAATGTGGCTCATCATACTTATTTAATTAAAGATATAATGCAGCTTGGATACACGTAAAGATGTTAAATAATCCAAAACAGTCCTAACAATCCCAATAAATTTGCCAGTTCTAGAGAAGATTTTTATTTTACTGTCATTATATTTTACTTTCTAATGATAATATATTGGATATTAATTAAACATATATAATGAACTTATGTGAAAAACCAGAAATTTTAATTTTAGAAACCGGTCAATAATTTAACGGTCTCATGGATCTAGATAAGCAATTAGACTTTTTTAATACTTGTAATTTCTAAATCTGTTTATAATCATTTGGGACAACTTAACATCCCTAGATACATGTATCCTGAAGGCAAATAATCTTTCATCAGTTTTAGCTGATATAATTGGTTATATACTAACACGTGGGATATGCATAGGTCTAATAATATTAACAAAAGAAAGAGTTTTATTCACTTATAAAAATTCGTGCTGTATAGATTTAACTATGACAGGTACAGTATTCTCACAATATTTAATTAATTTTAAATAGAATAATAATGAAATTTATAAATAAATATGTCAAAAAACTAAATTACTATTTAATAAGTTCATTATTAAGAGAAAAGAATAAAATTTAATAAGAGTTGTAATTTTTCTCAATAATTTAATTATAAATAGCAAAATGATAATTTTTGTTGAAATTATTTACTAAATTCCCTTAGATTTAAATTAATATCAATATCAATTTCCCTGGATAAATATTCTAAAAAATATAGTATAATATAAAATTAATTTATAAATTATGAATAATAAAATGTTACGTAATAAATCATCACCTTCATTAGATTCATTAATATTCACAATATTCGCATTAATATCTATTTCCAATTCTTTTGTTATATAGTCTAATAAAATTAGATTAAGGTTAATAATAATGTTCTGGAAGTAATTATATAGTAGAAGACCGATATAACTATGTTCTAACATTAGGACTTTACGAATATATACCCATAGTGATATATAATATATAAAGCAGGATAATAATTACCATAATCAGACAATCTACTTTCTTTATTTCCTTGGTTTTTGTCATTTAAATCATCAGTAAAATTACTTTTATCTTTGTTTTACAAATAAAAAAAAAAGAAATTTTTAATAATATTTAAAATTTAAAAAATGAACATAAATAAATATGTTACCATTATAAGACAGATTATGTTTTTGATAATCAACAAATGGTTCTAAACAATTCAAGTAATTTCTTTTTAATCAAAAAAAAAATAAAAAGTAAATATAAACTAAAAATTTATTATAATTACCAAATTCTGTAACAGATTGACTTTTTGTTAATATCACAGATCTTATTACATTGCTTAATGATCTACTTTTATAGATTGCTCCTGAATGATTCATGGCTTCAAGTCAAATTTCTGAAGATAATACGACATTTGTTGCTTTATTACTCCCATTATATAAATTATTAAATTCAATAGATACCATGCTATCAACCACTTCTTTTAAATAATTAGCGGTTGGCCTTTTATTTGGATCAGGATGCCAACATTTTTTCATTAATTTAATATAACCTTTAGGTGCATTTGTAACAATTGGAGGTCGAATGTTATTACATATTCTAATGATAAGTTCTGTATCATGATCTTGATCCCAAAAAGGCCTTCTACCCGTCATTAACTCCCATATAATCATACTAAGACTATAGATATTTAAGGCTGTAGTAAAATCTTGTTCATGAAAAACCTCTGGAGTCATATAAGGAATAATACCATAAATTTTATCACCATTATTGTCATTCTTATCTGTTAATTCATTTAAGGATTTGCTAATTCCTAAATCACCTATTAGTATTTTTCGATCTCCACAACAAAGGATATTCCCACTATGAAAATCCTGATGAATAATTCCTTTATTATGAATATATTCAAGACCTTTAATAATTTTATTCAATAAATCTAGCTTATCCCACCACGCAATATCATAAAAATTTTCTGTTAGAAAACGTCTTAAATCACCTGATTCACAATAATGCATGATAATCACATAATCTGTTGAAATAGGATCATGAGAAATTCCATAATATTTATTGTTGTAATCAGGTATAAGAGATCCAATATTAAGATCCAAATACTTCCAAAGCTGAATTTATATTGATGTAAAATAAAATAAGTATATCATATCACAATAAAAAAATGTTATTAAATTAATCTATACCTCATTTAACTCCTTTGTAGAAATATTTTTAGAATTAATTAGTTGCTTCAGGGTAACTGTTATATAACCTTCTCACGCATTCCCCCATGTAGCTCTATAAATTTTACTAAATCCACCCTCAGCAATATATTGAACATCTTTGAATTGATTATACGAAGCAAATTCCATTTTACTAATTATATAAGTATTAATTTGTGAATATCTGATAAATTCATCGACAACTTTGTTTCCACTTTCTTTAGGAGGTATTCCCTATTCATGGCATTTGTCACATTCATTATACATTTTAATACAAATTTTGCAGATCTCCAAATTATCTATGGAGGACCTTCCCCATTCATGACATTCATCACACTTTATTGATTTATTTATTTGTTGAGATGAATTTGTCCATTGTTGACATTTATCACATTTCTTATATAGTTTTATACAATGCTTGCAAAAACAATAGTTTTGTATGAAAGGTTTACTCCTTTCAATACATTCATCACAATTGATATATATTTTAATACAAATTCGACAAATAAGATTGTTTTTTGTGGAGTGTTTTTTTCATTCATAACATTCTTCACATTGCTTATACAATTTAATACATTGCTGACAAATACACTTGTTTTCTATAGAAGGATTTCTCCATTCATGACATTCTTCACATTTCTTATATAGTTTAATACATTGCAAACAAAACTTTTGATTTTCTATGGAATGTTTTCTCCATTTATGACATTCATAACACCAGATTGTATCCCAGAATTTCATTAAGGAGTTTGGTATAGTTGGTAGGGTAGTTATCGGAGTATAAGAGCAACTAAGTTCCGTTAAAGTGTTAGGTAAAGTTGGTAAGCTATTTATCTTAGTATATTGACACGAGAGTTTTGTTAAGGAGTTTGGTAAAGTTGGTAGGATATTTATCGAAGTAAAAGAGCAACTAAGTTCCGTTAAAGTGTTTGGTAAAGTTGGTAGGTAGTTATTTGAGTATAATTGCAATCAAGTATACTTAAGAAATCGGGTAAAGTTGGTAAGCTATTTATTTTAGTCTTTCGACACAAGAATTTTGTTAAGGAGTTTGGTAAAATTGGTAGGATATTTATCAAAGTATTAGAGCAACTAAGTTCCGTTAAAGTGTTTGGTAAAGTTGGTAGGGTAGTTATTGAAGTAAAAGAGCAATTAAGTTTCATTAAAGTGTTTGGTAAAGTTGGTAGGGTAGTTATATGAGTATATTGGCAATCGAGTATCATTAAGAAATTGCGTAAAATTGGTAGGGTAGTTATTTGAGTATAATCGCAATTGAGTATAATTAAGTAATCGGGTAAAGTTGGTAAGCTATTTATTTTATTCCATCGACACGAGAGTTTTGTTAAAGTGTTTGGTAAAGTTGATAGGGCAGTTATCGAAGTAAAAGAGCAACTAAGTTCCATTAAAGTATTTGGTAATGTTGGTAGGGTAGTTATTTGAGTATAATCGCAATTGAGTATCCATAACAAATCGGGTAAAGATGGTAAGCTATTTATTTTAGTCCATCGACACGAGACTTTTATTAAGGAGTTTGGTAAAGTTGGTAAGGCAGTTATCGAAGTAAAAGAGCAATCAAGATCCGTTAAAGTGTTGGGTAAAATTGGTAGGGTAGTTACTTTAGTGTTGTGGCAATAGAGTACTTTTAATGAGTTGGGTAAAGTTGGTGGTAGGGTAGTTATCGGAGTATTAGAGCAATCAAGTTCCGTTAAGGTGTTGGGTAAAGTTAATAAGCTGGATATTTGAATATTCTTACAAATAAATTTTGCTATGCTAAATTTCGATATCTTTGCAATCCGCCTAAAGCATTTAATATGTCATCCTTATTAAGATTCGTAATTGTTAAACTATCGATA